GGGGTAACCCCCACCCTCTTCTGCTTGAGAAATTGTAAACGGTTGAGATCCCCACCCCTAAACGATATATATACTTGTATGGGACAATTAAACAAATCAAATGAAATTGAGGGGAAGTCCACGAGGGTAAACCCCACCCCCTCCTGTTTGAGAACTTGTAAGCGGTTGAGATCCCCACCCCTAAACCATATATATTCTTGTATGCAATAAAACAAATCAAACGAAATATAGGGGAAGTCCATGGGGGTCACCCCCACCCCCATTCTTTTTGATAACTTGTAAACGGTCCAGATCCCCACCCCTAAACCATATATATTCTTGAATGGGACAATAAAACAAATCAAATGAAATATAGGGGAAGTCCATTGGGGTAACCCCCACCCCCTTCTGCTTGAGAAATTGTAAACGGTTGAGATCCCCACCCCTAAACCATATATATAGTTGTATGGGACAATTAAACAAATCAAATGAAATTTAGGGGAAGTCCACGAGGGTAAACCCCACCCCCTTCTTTTTGAAAACTTGTAAACGGTTGAGAACCCCACCCCTAAACCATATATAATCTTTTATGGGACAATAAAACAAATAAAATGAAATAAAAGGTGAGTCCCCTGGGGTAACCCCCACCCCCTTTTTTTATAAACTTGTAAACAGTCAAGATCTCCACCCTGAAACTATTTTTCTTCTTGTATATTACAATAAAACAAATAAATGAAATAAAAGTCGAGTCCCCTGGGGTCTTTTTTGTGATTGAGTTTATTTATTTATTTATTTATAATAATAATGTTCCTTTGAACAGAAATTGTTAATTATATGCATTAAGTTTGATTACACTAAGCCTTTATAGATAATTTTCACCTGTTTATAAGTCCTGTAATCAGTTTACTAAACATATGGTTAATGTCTTATCTTGAGTGACAGATTTATTTGAAAATTTTCTGTTTTCTAAGTGTTGATGATAAAAAGCTATATAGTAGTAAATATACTTAGAAATTTACTGTTCATTATTAGACATTTTGAAGATAATTACAGATAAGTTTTATAGATTTTTAAAAGACATTGTATTAATGATAAATAAAATTTTTGATTTTTTTTTCTTTACTTTGGTAAATTGTAAATTGTTTGTTATTCTGTAAAAACTAATTTTCTGAATGCTATATATATTTTTTGGATTAGGTGAACTCCTTTTAAAACTTAGCTTAGAATAAACATATATTTAGATTTTTGATTTTGGGCCCAGTTTTCAAGTTGGTCCAAATTAGGGTCCAAAATTAAACTGTGTTTGATTTCAACATAAATTGAATATATATAGGGTTTTTTGAAATGCTGAATCTAAACCACATCGAGGTACTAAGGGTCCTAAATTAAACTTTTGTATAATCAACAATTGAATTCTTGGGTTCTTTGATATGCTGATTTTAACAATGTTTGAGTGTTAAATCATATCTAATTTAAGAGAACTTAGTCATCACTGGTTGTTGTTATTATACTATAGATTATAATTTGAAAAATTACATCATATCTAATTTTATAGAACTTAGTCATCACTTTATTAATTATAATCATATCTATTTATCAAGTTTGAGTTATTTCCCTTTGCACAGAAAATATATGGATAAAATTAGATTGTGTTTCATTTTAACTTAAATTAAATGTATATAGGGTTCTTTCAAATGCTGAATCTAAACCTGTATTTAAAAATTAGATTTTTGGGCCCAGTTTTCAAGTTGGTCCAAATCAGGGTCCAAAATAAAACCTTAATTTATGTGGTTCCTTGAAATGCTGAATCTTACCATGTATAAAGAGATTTTGGATTGTGAGCTCCTTTATCAAATTGGTCTACATTGTGGTCCAAAGGGTCCTAAATTAAACTTTTGTTTGATTTCATTGAAAACTGAATTTTTGGAGTTCTTTGATATGCTGATTCTGACAATGTACTTAGATTTTGGATATTGGACCATACTAGGTTTAAAATAAATGTCCAATTTCAAATATTTCAGTTCTTTGACCACATTCATTTTGTGTCACAAACCTATGCTGTGTCAAATATTCAACCACAATCCAAATTCAGAGCAGTTTTAAGCTTAAATGAAGTGTCCATACTTGCGCAACTGTTCAGGGTTTGACCTCTGCAGGAAAATCCGGTTTGCTGTCACTCTGACAGCCTCTTGTTCCATATTTTAATGATAAATGGACATAGTTTTTTTTTACATTTTACAAGTAGATACAGTCTAGGGTTAAATTTTGTTACACATCAAATACTTTGTCAAACCTTCATAGAATTTTATGAAACTTTGGCAGAAGCTTTTTTTATGATTTAAGAGATAATGTCTGATGCAAAGTTAAATTTGGCCCAGTAGTTTCAGAGGAGATGATCTTTGTAAAAGTTAACAGACGACGGGCGCCAAGTGATGACAAAAGCTTACGTGGCCCGAAGGCCAGGTGAGCTCAAAAGAGCAAAAAAGTACAAATGCCATTAAATTTGAAGATAATTATTTAGTTAAAAGATACAAGTACTGGAAGGAAACACAAAGTAAATTTGTACCTCACAATTGTCATACTTCATTCAAAAAACTGTGTAAACATTTGCAAAAATGACAGATAAAAAGCTACGGTATTAGTCTTTTAGCAAAAGAATGGCACACAAATGATTCTCATCAGTCTAATGACAGAATTAAAAATGAGAAATGTATAGGATATTTTATGAAATCAAAAATGTTGAAAATCTGCAAAAAATAATACAAGAAAATATTGTAATCACATATAAATGTCAAGGCTTTGCTCTGTAGATAATTTTATCAGGTGAATCAACAATGAGGAACTTAACAACACAGTAATCACTGAAGTTAACAAACAATTTGAAATGATGGAAATACTTACAATCTATGACATCGAGTTTTAACATTTCTGTAAGGAAGAAAACAATTAATAAGCAAGGAACTGAGATGTAAATTTTCTATTAAATTATAATAAAATAAAGAAAAGATGTTTTCCTAAATTTGTAATATATACTATTTAAGAATGCCAAATTCAATGGAAGAAAATGGGGTTAGAAGAAATGGTTATGACATCTCATTATCACACAATAATGAGATGTCATAAGCATTTCTACTAATCTGAAACTTAATAAGGTTAAAGTTACAAGATCAAGAATGCAAGTGTTGTCGGGCTAAGAATACCCCAGACGTTTAGAATCATTCTATTCAGGAGTACTTGAATAAAGTGTGACGAAAAATTCTAAGTGAATTCAACATATTAAAAAACTCAAAGTATTGGCAAACAGGAATTTGGTGTCCGACAGATTTAAAAGTGCTCACATGTTACAACTTATCCTTCCAAGCTGCTGACCAAATATAAAGTCATTCTGTTCAGTTGTAGATGTGAAAAAGTATGACAAAAAAAATTTAGTTGATTCAACATATTGAAAAATTCAAAATATTGGCAAACAGGAAGTTGTTGACGAATCCGAAAAGTGGTCACAGGTTACATGTTATCACTGTCAAGCTGCTGACCAAGTATAAAATCATTCTGTTGAATAGTACCTAAAGTGCGACTAAATATTTGTTTGACGATCAGAAGAACGAACAGATGGACAGACAGGGTGAATGCAATATACCAACTTCTATTAGAGTGGGGTATAATAAACAAATAGCATGAGTTCACATTATGATTGGGCTGATACGGTTGCAAATCAAATACCAGTGACTTATTTATTTTCTTAAATGGACCTAGTCTCTAGATATCTTTTAAAAGTTTAGTTCTGTACAATTTACAGTGCTACAAACAAAGAATTATTTTCTCAAAATAACTTTGATTTTAAGACATTGACCCTTCAGAGTCCCTGAATATGACTGATGCAGTAGGAGTTAAATTCAGTTGGACAATACAAAGCATAGGGTGTATTATAATGCAAACCAAGGGTCCGGAAACGGTCATATTTGAAAGTCATGACCAAAACTGAAAGCTATTTGTCCTTAACGGCAGATTGGGATTTAGGTCAAATAATATTTTTTTATAGAAATAATTTCGGTCATTTCATTGAGATCAGGTTTCTTAATCGCCATTTTTTACTCAATTTTGTTTTGAAATGCTTTCAAAGTAATAAAACTGCCACTCAGTATAAGCTGGTTCTCGGCTGACTACTACACTTTGTTGAGTGTAGCGTAAATACCAGCGGATCCCAGTTTAAATCCAGTATAGTATTAGAGTCCTGAGGGCCCTCCTAATAACCATATTAATGCATCTGGGAGATATTTGCTAATGATCGCTAATCACTTTTTGCCTGTGAGGACATACCCTTGACCCTATTTTTTTTATTATTTAAAAAGGTTCAAGGTATTTTAATAGGATAATTGTTATTTGCAAACGGCAAATTTTATAAAACAGGGCACAAAACTTGCTTTTTTCAGTGGAAAATTTTGCATTTAAGACTTTTGAAGTTTCATGGCACTAGAATATGGATGAAAACGGGTCATTTGATGAAATCCCGGGTTATTTGAAGATCCTTATTGGTAGTGAAACATCTCGGGTGATCTGGTAAATTCACTTGTCACACCCGCAAAATACGGGTCAGTTGACAGGTATGTGAGGATCATAATATGTAGATGTGCAGTTTTTATCAGTTGACTTTTGTAGGAGGTATGAGTCTTTGAACATGGGAATCCGGTGAGATTTTGTTTGCTCACTGACAATGTTGTGGGGTATGTGAGCTTGCCCACAAAAAGGTTCTTTAATACCACTCTCAGTTCAAAACAGCTGTACTTTAGAGCAGATTTATATAACAACAACATAAACAGTGTAGGAAGACTGTAATAATAAGGATCCGATGCAGAAAATGTAGAAGAAATTTTAAATCTTGTTTCAAACTAGAAATTAACAATTTGATGTTAATCTAAGAAAGAAAACAAATGCAACGTTAGATGAACAACAATGTCAATAAATCTGTTTAGCTGGGTTTTTTTTTTGACATATTGTATACATTTCCTGGCCTTTTTTTTCAGGTCACCAGATGTTGAAGATTTAAAAGAACTTATGCCACAATTAGGAAGGTAGATTTTATCATAATTAAAGATTACATTTATTTTGATGGAATATTAGTGTCCTATTTAATTTTACCTTTATCATGGTAATAAGTATAACAGAGAAAATTCAAGTTTATTGATGGGTAGCTTAATTTAAAAGTTGTTTAGCTCACATGGTCCGAAGGGCTAGTGTAAGATCTTGCCATCACTCAGCATCCATAGTCTGTCGTTGTCTTCAGTTACCTTTCACAAAAACCTCTTTCTCTGAAACTAATGGGTATTAGAATATGTTGGTATTAAATCACATGGTTTTTATTCCACTTTATTTTCTTAAATTTAAACATTTTATTTCTTTATACAAACATTTTTTTCTGGAACAAAATTTAGACTAATGAATAGTATATACTACTTACCAAAATAGTTTAATGTAATCCAACAGATTGTTCACAAACACGAGCTTTTTAAACGACCGCAAAAATTGAAAATTTTTTGGTCGTATATTGGTATGACGTTGGCGTCGTCGTCGTCGTCGTCGTCGTCGTCGTCGTCTGGCGTCGTCCGGCGTCGTCCGAAGACACATTGGTTTTCGCACTCTAACTTTAGTTTAAGTGAATGGATCTCCTTGAAATTTTACCATAAGGTTCAATACCACGAAAGGAAGGTTGGGATTGATTTTGGGGGTTATGGTACCAACAGTTAAGGAAGTAGGGGCCAAAAAGGGGCCAAAAATAAGCATTTTTGTAATTCCAGACAATAACTTGTGTGTAAGTGTATGGATCTCTCTGACATTGTACCACAAGGTTCCATATCACAAAGGGAAGGCTGTAATTGATTTTGGGGGTAATTGCCTCAAAATTTTAGGAATTAGGGGCCAAAAAAGGGGCAAAAAACAAGCATTTTTCTAGTTTCATGACAATAACTTGTGTGTAAGTGTTTGGATATTTCTGAAATTGTACTACAAGGTTCCATATCACAAAGGGAAAGGTGGAATTGAGTTTGGGGGTAATTGCCTGAAACGTTTAGGAATTGGGGGCCAAAAAGGGGCCAAAAATAAGCATTTTTCTAGTTTCCAGACAATAACTTGTGTTCAAGTGTATGGATCTCTCTGAAATTGTACTGCTAGGTACCATACCACAAAGGGAAGGCTGGGATTGAGTTTGGGGGTGATGAATCATAAGGGGGTTCAAAAAATTTGGGGGGGGGGGGGATTTTTTTTTTTTCTTTTTTTACTTTTTTTCCTTTTTTTTTTCTTTTAAAATTTTCCATTTTAAGTTGGTTATTTCTGATTAATATTTAAAAGCAAATAATGATATGGTAGGAGTTACACACCAAACAGGATGTGTAAATTATTATATAATAAGTATTGTGCAATAGCAAGAAATTTTCAATTGCACAGTATTGCACAATTGCAAGAAATCTTCAATTGCACAGTATTGCGCAATAGCAAGAAATCTTCAATTGCACAGTATTGCGCAATAGCAAGAAATATCCAATAGCACAATATTGCGCAATAGCAAGAAATTGTCAATTGTACAGTATTGCACAATAGCAAGAAATATTCAATTGCACAGTATTGTGCAAAAGAAGATACTTCGTATAAATTGCTTATTTCTTGATCAATTTCAATGGGGTTTTATTCTTGAATTCTTGGGGTTCTTTAATATGCTGAATCTAACCGTGTATTAAGTTTTTGGATTTTGGGCCCCGTTTTTAAATTGGTCTACATTAAGGTCAAAAGGGTCCAAAATTAAACTTAGTTTGATTTTAACAAAAATTGAATTATTGGGGTTCTTTGATATGCCGAATCTAACCGTGTATTTAGATTCTTGATTATGGGCCCAGTTTTCAAGTTGGTCCAAATCGGGGTCCAAAATTAAACTTTGTTTGATTATAACAAAAATTGAATATATGGGGTTCTTTGATATGCTGAATCTAACCATGTATTTAGATTTTTGATTTTTGGGCCCCGTTATCAACTTTGTCCACATTGAGGTCAAAAGGGTCCAAAATTAAACTTTGTTTGATTTCATCAAAAATTGAATTCTTGGGGTTCTTTGATATGCTGAATCTAACCATGTATTTAGATTTTTTATTTGTGGACCCGCTATCAAATTGGTTCATATTGAGGTCAAAAGGGTCCAAAATTAAACTTTGTTTGATTTCATCAAAAATTGAATTATTGGGGTTCTTTGATATGCCAAATCTAACCGTGTATTTAGATTTTTAATTTTGGGTCCCGTTTTTAAATTGGTCTACATTAAGGTCCAAAGGGTCCAAAATTAAACTTAGTTTGATTTTAACAAAAATTGAATTCTTGGGGTTCTTTGATATGCTGAATCTAAACATGTGTTTAGAATTTTGATTATGGGCCCAGTTTTCAAGTTGGTCCAAGTTGGGGTCCTAAATTAAACTTTGTTTGATTTCAACAAAAATTGAATATATGGGGTTCTTTGATATGCTGAATCTAAACATGTATTTAGATTTTAGATTTTTGGCCCAGTTTTCAAGTTGGTCCAAATTGGGGTCCAAAATTAAACTTTGTTTGATTTCAACAAAAATTGAATATATGGGGTTCTTTGATATGCTGAATCTTACCATGTATTTAGATTTTTTATTTGTGGGCCCGCTATCAAATTGGTTCATATTGAGGTCAAAAGGGTCCAAAATTAAACTTTGTTTGATTTCATCAAAAATTTAATTATTGGGGTTCTTTGATATGCCAAATCTAACCGTGTATTTAGATTTTTAATTTTGGGTCCCGTTTTTTAAATTGGTCTACATTAAGGTCCAAAGGGTCCAAAATTAAACTTTGTTTGATTTCATCAAAAATTGAATTATTGGGGTTCTTTGATAGGCCAAATCTAAACGTGTTTTTAGATTTTTAATTTTGGGTCCCGTTTTTTAAATTGGTCTACATTAAGGTCCAAAGGGTCCAAAATTAAACTTAGTTTGATTTTAACAAAAATTGAATTCTTGGGGTACTTTGATATGCTGAATCTAAACATGTGTTTAGATTTTTGATTATGGGACCAGTTTTCAAGTTTGTCCAAGTTGGGGTCCAAAATTAAACTTTGTTTGATTTCAACAAAAATTGAATATATGGGGTTCTTTGATATGCTGAATCTAACCATGTATTTTGATTTTGGACATTGGACCATAATAGGTAAATTAAAAAAATTGAAGTTCTTAGACCACATTCTTTCTGTGTCAGAAACCTATGCTGTGTCAAATATTTAATCACAATCCAAATTCAGAGCTGTATCAAGCTTGAATGTTGTGTCCATACTTGCCCCAACTGTTCAGGGTTCGACCTCTGCGGTCGTATCAAGCTGCGCCCAGCGAAGCATTTTATTTGCTCTAATTTTGGAACAATGAACTTGTAAACAGGTTAACCAATTCGGCACAAAAGGTCTTTTTCAATGATCGAAATGAATATTGAAAGATGAGCCCAATTCGAAAAGCAAGTTGATGTTCTGTAAATACCATGGAATTTTATACTTATACGCTGTACTTTAAAAAGAATGTAAATGTTATTACTTATAATATTTGATTACTTTTTACTCAGCTTTTTCCTTAGAAATTTAGTAACTAATAACGGGATACTCGGACTAACGCTGTAAACCAAGTAAATGGTTAAAACAGCAGATGTGCAATAAAAATTATTTACTTAAAAAAAAATAGAACAGAGGGGGAAAATGCATTTATTTTCTATTATCTTCTGCCTGTTATTGTAAGAGAAAAATCTGAAACAAGCAGAATTGTTCAAAATGTTATGATCTACCTACTGTCCATTTTGATAAAAATTGTCAGAAAACTTCTTATAGGATTTTTTGGCTTTATATGACGATTTTTGTGTGGCAAAAACATAGTAAATACAGAGAAATGTGTAAATATCGAAAAGGATCAGCAAGACAAGATATACAAGTAGGTCAACATAGCCAAACTTGTCTGTTCTTATAGGAGTGTTTGCCCTTTAATGATATTTTTTACATAATTTTGTCTCGCCTAGAAAAAAGGCACGTCTGGCGTACAACATTTTAATCCTGGTATCTATGATGAGTTTATGGTTTCTCTACAAAGAAGTGTAGGAGGCAAGATATGCATGCTGTTCTGGCGGTGTCAACAATGTACAATGTATTAGTTTGTGATTAGGTCTGTTTCAGGGGAACTGCTTGTGGTAGGTCAACGATATTTGATATGTATTTGTATTAGTATTGACACATCTCATTTCAATAGAGATTGTTTGGTCCTCCTCAATCATGGTCTATTAACTTTGAAACTTTTGCTTGTTTTAAATGGGAAAGTTTTTGATTTAATAGGTCAGTTTAAGGGGAACCCCTTAAGATTAGTCAATGATATTTGGTATACAATTGTAATAGAATTAGCACATTTCATTTCCATTTAGAATTTTTGGCCCTGCACCTTCAGTCATTGTTCATTGACTTTGAATGTTTTTCATAGTTATTATTGCCATTTGAATTTCTACATTTGCATATTATTATCAAAATTACATACAGTTGAGAAATATTTTAATCAATACTTTAATATATGTTATAGTATAAAAATTGATGAGAAGGATTATTTCTGCAAATATATCAATATAGCTAAAATTGTCAATCGACTCTTTATAGGAGCCATTGCCCTTTAATGATAATTTGTACCCATGTTCTGCTTTTTTGGTGAACATTTTAAAAGATAAAGCAAAAGTGACCAGTTGAAGTTGAGGGCTGATTTACAAACAGGTCAACATAGCTGAAATTGTCAGTCCACCTCGAATAGTAGTTATTGCCCTTAAACGACAATGTTTACCAATTTTTAGCTCACCTTTCCGAAAGGCCAATCAGTTTTCTCATCACTTGTCGTCCATGATACGTCGTCGCCAGTTTACTTTTAAAAAAAATCTTATCCTCTGAAACAATTGGGACAAATTTAACTAAACTTGGCCGCAATCATCAGGTCTGTTATGTGAAAGCTGTAAATTGTTCAGGGGCTAAGCTGGATATAGAGGTCGTGGAATCGTATTATTTATTATTTTTATTGATCAACATTATGAAAGTTTTGATGAATAATCCATTGTTAAAGCATTTCTCTATATCTCTACCACAGATAAATTACATAGGAAGCTTTTAAAGAGAAACATAAGAATAGGGAGATGTGGTAAGATTGCCAATGAGACAACTTTCCACAAGAGATCACAAGAAGAGATTAAAAACAACAAAAGGTCACCTGTACATGTTGTATAATAAGCTTTAATAAGCGCTTGCATGACAAAATGTGAAACAATTCAAAGGAGAAAATCAACAACCTGATTAATGCTTAAAAGGTTTCTGACATTCAACAACCAACAATAACCAATGAATTATAGGCACCCGACTTTGGAGAAGCACACACAAATGTGTCGTTTTTTGTGTTTGTGATCATGAGGTATCTATCCTATCCCTAAATAGGGATATCTTTGTAAATAAGGCCCTGGTCAGCTATAGTTTAAAAAAAATCTGGTGATTATATTGCAGAGGTTTAGAGCAGATGATGGATTATGAGGAAGATGACTTTGAAGATGTTTTCTGTCAAACATTTGAGGTTGGTATATAATCATGGATCAAAAATTTTTCTATACTTCACAAGTTCCATACATGTGATATATAAAATCAATTATTTAAAAAAAAATTACAACAATTTCTTGTCTGAAAAAAAACCCATATTTTTGGCATTTTAAATCATGTTAATTAGATTTTAAATTTAAATCTGCTGTAGAATTTATTGCTTCTTCTTGTTTCCCGTGCGACTCGTTGTTGTGGACATAGAAACACCGTGCATCAGTCTGTCTACCAGTCTGGTCTTGTAAGTGCTCTCAGGTGTAAAATTCTTGATTGATATGAAATTTATATCAAAGGTTTATATCAACAATGTCTTGGCAAGTTCGAAATTCAGCACTGATCAACTATTTTACAGGAGATATGTCTCATATCTTGACTTACATCTAAAGATTGACATTGAGGGTCGGTTGAGACCAACACTTTACGACAAAAGAGATCATTTCAGATGATTTCAGCTTCCCAATTGTGAACTTTCCATTTCTATGTGGCAACATTCCCAGCAGCACCTGCATACGGAGTATATATTTCCCAGTTGATACGATATTCCAGGGCTTGTATTTCCTATCATGTTTTTTATACGACCGCAAAAAAATTTTTGTGGTCGTATATTGGTATGACGTTGGCGTCGTCGTCGTCGTCGTCCGAAGACACATTAGTTTTCGCACTCTAACTTTAGTTTAAGTGAATGGATCTCAATGAAATTTTACCATAAGGTTCAATACCACAAAAGGAAGGTGGGGATTGGGGTTATGGTACCAACAGTTAAGGAATTAGAGGCCAAAAAGGGGCCAAAAATAAGCATTTTTGTAACTTCCAGACATAACTTGTGTGTAAGTGTATGGATCTCTCTGACATTGTACCACAAGGTTCCTTATCACAAAGGGAATGCTGGGATTGATTTTGGGGGTAATTGCCTCCAAATTTTAGGAATTAGGGGCCAAAAAGGGGCAAAAAACAAGCATTTTTCTAGTTTCATGACAATAACTTGTGTGTAAGTGTATGGATCTCTCTGGCATTGTATCACAAGTTTCCATATCACAAAGGGAATGCTGGGATTGATTTTGGGGGTAATTGCCTCCAAATTGTAGGAATTAGGGGCCAAAAAGGGGCAAGAAACAAGCATTTTTCTAGTTTCATGACAATAACTTGTGTGTAAGTGTATGGATCTTTATGAAATTGTACTACAAGGTTCCATATAACAAAGGGAAAGCTGGAATTGAGTTTGGGGGTAATTGCCCAAAAAGTTTCGGAAAAAGGGGCCAAAAAGGGGCCAAAAATAAGCATTTTTCTAGTTTCCAGACAATAACTTGTGTTCAAGTGTATGGATCTCTCTGAAATTGTACTGCAAGGTACCATACCACAAAGGGGAAGCTGGGATTGATTTTGGAGGTAATTGCCTCAAAATTTTAGGAATTAGGCGCCATAAAAGGGCAAAAAATCAAGCATTTTTCTAGTTTTTAGGACAATAACTTGTGTGTAAGTGTATGGATCTTTATGAAATTGTACTGCAAGGTTCCATATCACAAAGGGAAAGCTGGGTTTGAATTTGGGGGTTATTGCCCTAAACATTTAGGAATTTGGGGCCAAAAAGGGGCCAAAAAACAAGCATTTTTCTAGTTTCCAGACAATAACTTGTGTTCAAGTGTATGGATCTCTCTGAAATTGTACTGCAAGGTACCATACCACAAAGGGAAGGCTGGGATTGAGTTTGGGGGTGATGAATCATAAGGGGGTTCAAAAAATTTGGGAGGGGGATTTTTTTTTCCTTTTTTTTCTTTAAAATTTTCCATTTTAAATTGGTTATTTCTGATTTATATATAAAAGCAAATAATAATGATATGGTTTGAATAGGTAAATTAAAATTTTTTAAGTTCTTAGACCACTTTCATTCTGTGTCAGAAACCTATGCTGTGTCAAATATTTAATTACAATCCAAATTCAGTGCTGTATCAAGCTTGAATGTTGTGTCCATACTTGCCCCAACTGTTCAGGGTTCGACCTCTGCGGTCGTATGAAGCTGCGCCCCAGCGGAGCATTTTTTTTTATAGAGGGTTGCTGCTCATAAAGAAGCTATTAACCCAAGAGTTCCAAGTGGTAAAGTTGAAATCATTCCTTCGTAAATTTTACGGACCCCATCACGAGTTGGTTGACCGTTATGGAATATCCGTGTCACAGATGATAGCGGATATGTTCCAATAGTCGTAACTACAATCCAGTTCCCTTTCCCCCGAATGTGACCTACCGAATTAGACTTATCACCTGGTTTGTACTAACATGAGCAACACGACAGGTGCAACATGTGGAGCAGATTCTGCTTACCCTTCCGGAGCTCCTGATATCACCCCAGTTTTTGGTGGGGTTCGTGATTCTCAGTCTTTAGTTTTCTATGTTGTGTATTGTGTACTGTTGTTTGTCTGTTGGTCTTTTTTTTTTTAAGTCATGGCTTTGTCAGTTTGTTTTCGACTTATGAATTTGAATATCCCTTTGGTATCTCTCTCCTCTCTTTTAGAAATGTGAATTTTATAGAGAATTGCTATGTAAGCGCTCTAAAGTGTACAATTCTTGCCAGATATTTATGAAATGTATATCAAAGGTTTACATCAGCAATGTCTGTCCTGGGTTCAGCGATCAGCACTAAATATCCATTCTAACAGGAGAAGTGGCCTCTAGAAAAATATTTTTTTTAATAAAATTGCATTGTGTTAGCCCTTTCAGACCTACATTTCTTGTAAGATTATTATGAAATTTATATCATAGGTTCATATCAGCAATGTTTTAGGTGAGATCAAAAATTAGAACTGATTTTAAATCATTTATTATTTTTACAGGATTAGCGTCTCTTTGAATTTACTTATATTGAACATTGCATTGTAAACACTCTCACACCCACATTTCTTGTTGATTTTTTATAAAGTTTATATCAAAGGGTTATATCAGTAATGTCTTGGAAGAGTGCTGACCAACTATTTTACAGAGTTATTCCCCTATGAAATAGAAATATATTGAAACTATTGGAACTCATGCCTACATTTCTTGTAAGATATGTATTAAAAAGTTAAAATACCTTTTTATGCCCCCGCCATAGCGAAGGGGGCATTAAGTTTTACCCTTGTCCGTCTGCAAGTCCGTACGTCCTTACGTCATGTTTGACTGTGGGTGGCGCCACTTAAACCTTTCTAGAGTTATGCCCCTTTACAAATGGAAAAATTGCTGAATTTTTCGTTTCCTTTCTCTTACTTAAGTTTGCCTCAACCAAATGTTATTAATCTTATACACAATGATTATTACAACAAAAAACAGATCAAGTTTGAATTTTGGTGGCGTCACTTTTACCTTTCTAGAGTTATGCCCCTTTACAAATGGAAAAATTGCTGAAATAAAAGGCGAGTCCCCTGGGGTCACCCCACCCCATCCTGTTTAAGAACTTGTAAACCGTCGAGATGTCCACCCCTAAACCATATATATTCTTGAATGGGACCATAAAACAAATCAAATGATATATAGGGGAAGTCCATTGGGGTCACACCCACCCCCCTTCTTTTTGATAACTTGTAAACAGTCGAGATCCCCACCCCTAAACCATATATATTCTTGAATGGGACAGTAAAACAAAACAAATGAAATTGAGGGGGAGTCCCCTGGGGTCACCCCCACACTTTTTTTTGGAAAACTTGTAAACGGTCAAAATCTCCACCCCGAAACCATATATATTATTGTATGGGACAATAAAACAAATCAAATGAAATACAAGGCGTCCCCTGGGGTTATTCCCACCTTCTTCCTGTTAAATAACTTGCAAACGGTTGAGATCCCCACCCCTAAACCATATATATTCTTGTATGGGACAATAACACAAATCAAATGAAATATAGGGGAAGTCCATGGGGGTCACCCCCACCCCCTTTCTTTTTGAAAACTTGTAAATGGTCAAGATTCACAACCTGAAACCATATATATTCTTGTATGGGACATTAAAACAAATCAAATAAAAAATAAAAGGCGAGTCCCCTGGGGTCACCCCCACCTCCTGTTTGAGAACTTGTAAACGGTCGAGATCCCCACCCCTAAACCATATATATTCTTGTATGCAATAAAACAAATCAAATGAAATATAGGGGAAGTCCATGGGAGTCACCCCCACCCCCTTTTGTTTTTGATAACTTGTAAACGGTCTAGATCCCCACCCCTAAACCATATATATTCTTGAATGGGACAATAAAACAAATCAAATGAAATTAAGGGGAAATCCCCTGGGGTAACCCCCATCCTCCCTTCTTTTTGAAAACTTGTAAACGGTCAAGATCCCCATGCGGAAACCATATATATTCTTGTATGGGACCATAAAACAAATCAAATGAAATATAAGGCGAGTCCCCTGGTGTCACCCCAACCCCTTCCTGTTTAAGAACTTGTAAACGGTCAAGATCCCTACCCCTAAACCATATATATTCTTGTACAGGACAAAAAAACTAATCATTTGAAATAAAGGGAGAGTCCCCTGGGGATCCCCCCCCCTTTTGAGAACTTGTAAACGGTCGAGATCTCCACCCCTAAACCATATAAATTCCTGTTCGTAATTTCAAGAAGATTTGAATGACATACAGGGTCAATCCATAGGCGTCACTAATGCATATCATAAACCAATTTGTACTGGACATTGCCTAATGTCAAGCAACAATGGGAATGACGAATTATTGGAGCTTTGTTTGTGAGACTTCGTAACAGCATTCTGTAACAATTATTTCTTGTTACTGATAAGTTTTATAGATTTTGAAATGACATTGTATTTATGATAAATAAAATTTAGGATTTTTTTCTTCTTTTCTTTGGTAAATTGTTTGTAGAATTTTGTGGCAAGTTTGTTTGTTATTCTGTAAAAACTAATTTTCTGAATGCTATATATTTTTTTTTCTGATGAAGTAAACTCCTTTAAAAACTAAGCTTATATTGTCTATTAATTAACATATATTTAGATTTCTGATT